ATTCTGGGGACCCAGACCCCCCCTTCGCGTGCTCCTAACACCCCCCTTTCGAAAATCCTGCGTACGCCACTGCGCACAGGTGTATAGTTGGATGCTATAGAGGGCTGGCGACGCGGTAATGGCAAGCACAGATGATGTTATTTTGGGAAAAGTGTGACGCTCAGTAGGCCTACGGCAGAGTATATTTAGTTAGGAACACGGCATATATAATGCTACTTGCGGAAACGGAAATACTTAAAATGGGTATGTGAATCAACCTTGTGTCGGCATTTATTTCGTAATTAAAGTGAAAACGTTAGTTATAAACGTTAATACTCGAGGGTTTTTCCTGTATACACCATGCAAGCATGCACCATACGTGTTTTTTTGTATTCGTTATACCTGTTTTAGTTCAAAAGGTGCATGTTATGTTATGTCGATGCATATATACTTGCGGAGCGGAATAATACTTTGAATAAGGAACGCCGACACAGTTGTTTCACACGCTTAATTAACTGACATTGTATGAATGCATGTAGTATGTATGTATAGGTTTATGGTTGTTTTATGTACGCGGTATTTTGTTCATTATATATGCGTGTGACCGTTTTTTGTGTGTGGAAAATCTTTTTCGTGAAACTTTGTTTAGAAATTTGTGATCGTTTTCTTGAATTTGTGCTAACCAATGACGGTACGTTTCCACTATATTGTCAGACCGCTAAACACATTCTTCAATTAGAGTTTGATTATAGGCCAAAAACATTTCATCGAAAATATGAAATCAGTTTTGCGTATTTTTGTTGGCTGTATATGATGTATGATGTATGATGGATGATATATGATGATTTTTGTTGGCTGTATGATGTGTGGAAGTGACAAAGTACCACATCAGTGCTGTGTGTATTAATGCCTGTGTGCATGGGCCCCTGTGTGCCCTGGGATTATAATGATATAATCCAGTTATAACGTGGTTTCGGTAATGCGTGTCGGTATACGCATACGCCACGTACGTTACAGCCATAAAAAATACGCAAGAGTGAGAGTAATTGCAGCGATATCAAAATGTTNGACGCACAGACGGCCGGACGGCCGGACGGACGGGCAATCATGCAAGGTCAACAAGCTGCACCTGACTACGTCAGATGAGCTAAAAATTAACTTCAATGCCCTCCGGGAAGGAGACCGCAATAATTTTAGGATCTATTTTACAGTGTTGCAATCTGCTATTTTATACTCAGCTTTTGAAATGCGCACGTGTACATAATTAT